AAGGATGTATTGTGGCATAGCAAAATAATCAAATAGTGTCTGTAAGAGAAACAGTTTTGAAGTGCAATATAAAAGAAAAACAGTTTTTCATGTGGTGAAAAAATACTGATTCCTCTAGTCATTCCTCTAGTCAATCAGTATTAAGCTGACTTATTTACTGAATAAACCCATGAGTTTARACTACCTTAAGTATTTTTAACATTGATTTTATCAGGCATTTCACCTTAAATGAGGTTTTTATACCATTTTCCAGCAGTCATTTATCTAGAAAAAAAATGGAGAACAAGATTTATTTTAAGAGAGTGCAGTTACATAAAGAAGATGATTTTAATGCATTTATCTTTCTGCGGCTCTTTCCAAGCCTTCCCCAGTAAAGTACGGCTATGCAGTAAATTAATGCTAGTGGTGTGATCAGTAGTTTAGCATCAATCCCTTAAGAGCAATTACTTCTCCCTTCCCCTCAGCAAAATGCCCCTGGCAGTAGTGAGAGCCACCTCCCCACGCACAGGGAAGCTGCAGCGAGGGCCGGCTCGCTGAGCAGAACAGCAGACCGTGCCCATCTGCTGCGTGGTTTCCACGAGGCCGTGGGGCAGGAGGAAGGGGCAGAGCAGCCCTTGCCTCCTCACACGGCCCCYAAGGCTTGCAGTCCTAAGGGGAACTCCAGAGCTGACGTGCAAAGCCAACTGCAAAGCAATCACAAAGCCACTATTTCYCATCAATTTTAATTTGCCAGCCAAGTATTTCTGTTCCTTCTACCTATCTAGAATTCTAAGCTCATAAAGTTGTTGCTTGCAGACTTGGCAATAGGACTCTCTTTCTTTTGTTGCAAACTTATCAAGGGCCTCTTTGTTCTTACATTGTAAGGTTCATTACAAAGGAGAACTTCAGTCTTCCCAATAATGGAAGCTGTGCCCTCAGAAACTATACAATACGTACCCTTGAAATAACCCTATGTGCAATCTGTTGATATCAGATACATATTTCCCACAGAAACACTCTCACAGTGAAAGAGAAATGGCTTTTCATCAAGAAAAATAAAAGAAGTTGAAAAGTAATACAAAACGTAATGAAAGAATTTATTCCTAGCAGTGGCATTTCCAAAGTACCCATTTGGAGATATGTCACAGTTTCCTAAAGGGTTTGTATTACGAAGAGACTTTAAAAATGCATAGCATGTTTCTTTGGGGATTCTGTAAGAATTCATTTCGAAGTGACTCACCACAAGTGCGTATTTTAGCAGAAAAATCTCTCTACGCTGAACATTCCTGTCAGGTAGCAGACTAGATCTCCCACACTAGCACTCTGCTCRTGGTGCAGCTGAAGAGCATCCTGCAGGGAAAAGTGCTTGGCTCAGGCAGTAGATAAATTAATCTCTGCTCTCACAGCCTCCACTCATCTCRGTCATTACTTGAATGAGCTGTGTGGAAAATGCGTTTGCATCTCMGTGTGTATGTTCAAGGTGCTAACGCTGCATATGCTTGCTTGGACACAGCACCTCTATTCACATTCACTATGTTCAAACTGGAACACTTCCATTTTCCCATTTTCACTACTCAGTAACCACACTCACTCCTGAAGCTTCTTGTCCTTCCCGGGAAGCCTCACTTAAGAAACAGGCTGATGGATCATAGAGAGAAAGTTCCCAGTAAATCCCTGTGTGTTTTGTTCCTCATCACTTGATCACTGGAGCATTCTTCTCCAACATTAACTGGAGATAACTAATTAATTTCCTCATTTATGTGCCCAACTCCATAGCCAGTCAGTCCCCACAGAAACACCCCTCTTTCTTTCTCTGGATTTCTACTATGTACCCACAACTTTTAATTGCACCAGTTTCTTCCGCTAGTACTTCAGCAGCGTTTCACCTCTCCTGTTAATGACTGCATGGCAGCTTAACTCCTCAGCCCTACTTCCAAACTGGTGAGCATCTTTGCTATGTTCCATCCAGCTTCCTGACCCCAAATTCCACAGCTCTGATCCCTTTAATAACCAATTTGTCCCCTAGTCCAGCAACCCCCCATAATGTCTCCACAATACTGTACACTGGATTTACTCAAATCCAGTCCTGTCCTTACTCAAACTCCATCCTGCTCAAGCCACATCTCRAAGTCTACATTACCACTGCAAATCTTACTTTAATACCAGTAAGGGTGAAATACAGAATATATTATCTATTTGCCACCTCTACTTGGATTACTTTCTTAATCCAGCTCAGATTATGAACCATAAAATAGGATCTAAAATGGCACTTGAGTAATTTCATGGTTATACCAAACAAAGCTTTGCCTAAGTTATTGGTAAGAATTTTTTTTTTGTTAATTATTCAAGTCTTGTTGCAGTTCTCATAATTTGTAAAAAATAAATAAATAATTTTTAAAAAGTATTTCTTCACCAGTAAACTCAAATTAGGTATTTCTCAGGTTGTCCTTTCTGCAGTACCTCATTCTATTATCATCTTTAAGCTTGGAGCTGACACACATTTTGATGACATCCATACATATTCATTCTTGGATATCATTAACTCAATGATATTTCCAGTCTTTTACGTGCAAAGCTGCATTGCTGCACAACGCAGAACAGAGTTTCAGCTAATTGGGAACCAGCTTGAATTAGGTACTTAGCAGCTGTATGACCTACACAGGGACCTTAAATCACAGTTAAGAGCATCAGTTGTGATGCAATGTAATATTCAAGAGAGACATCTGCTGGCAATAAAAGGAAAGAACAACCATCATAAAYGGGCATGAAAGCACCACGCAGTTAGGCAGACATACTTATCCATTAAAATGAACTATTTGGGGCTAATTAGAGATGCCCAATCTGCTGAAATCATACATTTATTTTTCATTACACCATTTTCCAGATGCATCCTATTTCATTTATGATGCATATCATCTGTTTATGTTGGRTATGACTTGTTCCATGACACTGCTTTATGAACATTTTCAGTGAGCTGAAGCATATTACAAGAGGCAAGGATTTACCAAAGGGACTGCACAGCTGGTCTGAAGTTTGAACAGGGGATCTAAGTGCAAGGTATTTTACAGATCTAAGTCCTATGAATTTACCAGATCAATGGTAGGATATCACCAATAACTAATATGAATCAATGAATAATAAATGATCAAGTTTTAACTTTCTCTTACCTAGAGTCATTCCCAGGTATTTCCCTGAAGCAGGCAGAAGTATTTTCACTTGCACAGCACTAAAGTGATGGGAATCTAGCCAGAATCCAGTCAGCATCCTAGTGGATTTTTTTTTTAAATGACTTTCACGTGGGCTATAAAGAAAATAAATTCTTTAAGCCATTATCCTAAAATCATACTGAGTCACAGGCTTGTTTGGTTGATTTATTTCAGCATGCTTTTTAGCACTCTTGATATCAACTTCATCAGAAGCAAAGGAGGGAAACAGGTCTCAGGTGTCATAAATTTATGACCATCAAATAAAGGACGTTTCAAAGAAACAGTGAAGCACAAAATTAGCTACTGCTAATGCAGTGTTGCAGGTGCCTCATATTGTATTCCACCCACATTTGAATTTTCCAGCTTTCTTTTTGCTGTCATGAGGCAATTTCTTCCAGACTCGCTCATGAAACAGCCCACAGCTACACTACTCCACTGTAAAACCAAGGACGATACCCATAGGTGACAGCCATTCCCTCGCTCATTTACTCCCGGGATGTAGGGAAACACTTCCTCATGTGTTTCTTCTTCGTGGCCTTCTTGTTCATATAGGTCATTTTCATAGACAACTGCATTCTTTAATAAATGTGTGAGCAGGCAATGCCAGTCAGCAAGTCTTCACTATATCTGCCCCCTCCATCTTAAAAACATCCCTAATACAGGTGGCCTCTTCGTATTCTTGCAACAATTCAGTCACGAAAGTAAGAAGACCTCATAGGTGCCTCAAATTTAATAAAAAGCTCTTCCTATTAACTCTTTCATGACATACAGGTGCTTGAACAATAGTCATTTGAGGATGAAGCAAAGGCCAAACAAGTGCTTTTCCAACAGGCAGCAGAAGACACGTAGAAAAGGAGCTGAAGGAGTATTGTAAAGCCACAGAAAGAAGGCTAACACTTCTGGAAAATGCTTTTTATCCAAAGATGAAAGCAAGGGAAGAAAGTCCCACATAAAGCCCCTTCAGGAGTTTTAAACTTTTTTTCAGATCAAGTTTTAAATTTTTCAGTTAGATAACAATAAAAACAAGTCACTTCCATGTGAGAAACTGTGGTATTCCTTCCAGGCTTCCTTTCTAACTCAGTTGTCTTATCCTAACAGGACTATTCTTACCTCTCTTCGGCTCTGGCCCAGTTTCAGTGATGCATTAGCTCCTTCCAGCTGGCCCCACGGATTTTCTATCATTGAATTTCCAGCTCTGCTGGAGCTATGCTTTACTACAGCTCTCTGCATATCGTAACAGCTACACACCTTAAGCTGGTCTCAGAGCTGTTTGTCAGGAGTGATCACTGCACATGCCATTTCACTGGCACTAGTGCTTCTGAGAGGACTACTTACCACTTTAGGTGATCTGCATTCTTGAATATGATGATGCCTTTACTATAAATACAGGTAGCGTCTGAACCACACTAAATGAACAGATTATATCTGCCCAGTTATGTCATCACAGATGAAGAGGCAACTGCAGAGAGCCCATTTAAAGTGTGATGCACTCTCAGAGTCCACAAGTCTTACAAATACTTAAAACGTGTGCATCTTACAGAGGAAAAAAGGAAATACATTTAAAGACAGACCACGATCTTCTCAAAAACCTAATGACATAGCTAAAACATACAATCATGTTTTTTCTCAAAGGTRAACAATCACTCAATTGTTTTTAACAATCTAGCTTAAGCTACCTAAAATCAGAGAGGAAAGTTAGATAATCRGTCAGTATATGCCAGCTGCTATTCCTGTTCATAAGACGCGGCTCTTGTTTGTACACGCACAGAATCAGCCCCACGCAGCGCCAGAGGAAACACTACCTTCAGCAGAGCTCCRGTCGGAAGCGCGTGGCGCTCGCGGTGATGCGCAAAGGCACGCGGACGGGAACCACTCCAAGGCGTCTCTGCTCCCAATCAGCCAGGCTGCATGAGGAAAACGCCTCTCAATGAAACTCAATGCACCATTATAACACAGTTTCACTGCAATCATCGCGCTTTTATGTTTGCCATGAACCAGTCTCTATTATTCTAAACAGTTAATGGAAGTAGAGCAGATTGTACTCGCCGATCTGATTTCACATTTCTTGACAGAATGGGCTGCAGCTCTGAAGAAAATTATTAGCGAGTCAGCGACACTCCCATCTCCRGGATGCTATAATTAGAAACCCTCTACATCTCCAAGTTGCTGCAGTCCTCATCCTGAGGAAAACAGGAGCTCGTCTTTTACTTTAACACAAACTATAGGTAAGAATGGATAAAGCCTCAGTTTATATGCCAATAATATTTACATGCTTCTGCAGGTATGTCTCATGCAGTTCTAACTCTTAACGACAAAACAAGTTTTTAGTACATTGCATAGCCCCTAAGCATTGTGTAAACCGCTAAAGAGCAAATATTATAGACCCATACGAAGGCTTTTTCTGCTAATGCATTATTTTAAATGATTTCAGAGCATATTTACRTTCACAGTAAGATGCGTCTGAATTTGGGAGGCTTCACACACATTGCTGTCTAGTAAATTCTGAGCTCTACAGATTGCATCATCATCCCAATGCACAGAGTTAATAATAAAAATTTTGATAAAATATGTAAGGGTTCAGCAAAGGGGATAGCAACAGCAATAGTAGAAGTAAAAAGGGGAGTTAAACAAATAAAAAACAGGAGAGGTATTAGCACAACGCGTAAGTGTGTATCCCAAAGAGATGTTGCTGCGTATGTGCAAATGTCCAAGCTGTGTGACACTCCATTTAAGGTTTCAAGGTTTCTTTTGAGCTCTCTCCTCAGCTCTCTCTGAGCTCAGGAGCCCTCTATGTACTGCACACTTACTGTGTTCTGGAGCATTTCATTGCGCTCTAGTCTGTTTGTTCGTTCAGACCCTGTCCTTGTTGTTAGGGTCGGAAGTACATTTAGTGTGCACTGGAGTTGGTCTTCCAGTTTAATTTCCCCTGGGAAATGAACACATGGGAATTTTACCAAGGACTGCACTCAATAAATCTAACTTTCAAACAGAAACAAAAAATGGCAAGGTTTACTAAGTACTGTATTTATGTCTTTTAATGAAGGCATTTATTATGCCTTTCATAAAGTATACACTTGCAAATTATATATTCATGTACTAATTTGTGTTCACGATGCGTAAATGCATGGACCTTACCAAGACAAAATTCTCCTTTTATCCAGAACATTTTCCTTGTTTTCTCCTTCAAGGTCAATTTGACATTTCTTCAGAGGATAAAGCAAACAAAGCAGTTCACCCAAAATGAAAAGGTAGCAAGAGTACAAAACATGCTTCCCCCTTTGTTAACTACGAAAATATTTAAACATCCATGTTTAAACGCTGCTTATATTTTATCCAAGTTAAATAGCTACTATAATTATTTTTAAGTGATTATTATCTGTATGGATACAACTGTATAATCTGTTTATATTTTCACATTTAGCTAATAGATTTTGCAGCAGTATTACTAAATAATATTTACTAAGGAGAAACCTAATGCCATTTTTGAAGCTCAGATGGACTGGTTCTGCAGTAGGAACTCGAAATGGAGTCTGGAGGACAGGAGCCAGGAGCAAGGTGTGAGGCTGCCTTTACGGTTACTCATGAGCTCCATTACCGCCCCACTAGGATGAAAGCGGCTCGCGTGGATTTTCTACGTGGGGAATCCTGTCCTCAGCACAACCTTAATTCCCATGGTACTTTTTCACATATGCAAAAACTAGCACCGAACCCAGATGTCTGTCTTACTGCTCAGCAGAATTCAGACACAACCAGACACAAGGCAWAGAAACAACAAGTTACCTGACTTACTTAGAGAAAAAATTAAAAAAATGTCTTATGCAACCAATTTTTTGCATTCCTGCTAAACAGTTCAAAATTCTAGTTGGGGCACTAAGTCTCTAGCTAACCTTTCCTTCCAATTGAAAACTCACCTCAAACTTTTTAATTAGCACTTCTTTCAAGTCATGTAATTGTTAATTAGTTCCTCACCGTTGATTTTAAATTTGCTGCGCTAGTGCTATGAAGCTTTTTATCAAGTCTCCTGCATATTGACTCGTATTGTAGACACATGATAAATCTACTGGAGAAGACACTGGCAGGAAAGAGAGGACTATCTCTGAACTCAGTATTACTAACAAACCCCTGAGATTATAAACTGCAATCAACATACACTCTGCAAAACAAGTCAGTTGATAGCTAATAACATAGGCTTATTCAGATTATAACAATTCCTATCAAAATATTATCGTAGTACTATTTGCAGTATTGTGTAGTATCCACRCATCTAAACACTGGTTCCTATCACACTATCAAGTGCATTTCCATTACTCTCTGTATAGTTATTATCTAATACTACAACTGCTATCAAGTACACATGTACTATTTTTTTCTCAAAATTCTGATCTTCTTATAATTTAAGATCCTTTTAGTTAAATAACATTTCTGTACATGTGAWATATTCATTTCTATGATCTGAGACTAAAGGATCCCATCTCTGAACACAAACTCTGAATGCCAAAGATGAGCCAACATGCCTGACCCAAGTAYAACCCAGGATGAATTGGGCAAATCAATATCTCTTTCAGAAAAGCTCACCATTTTTCACTGTCTCACAACATCTACATTATAGCAATTTTTCCTCTGTTTCCTTCTTTTGTACATGTAAATCTTCACATGTTCAAAAACCTTTCAAGTTTTAGATCTAAGATTTTTAGCCAAGGGAAAAAATAAAAAAATAAGAAAGGGGAGGGGGGGGGAAAAAGAGAAAAAAAGGGGAGGAGGGAAGCAAATGGGAGAAGGAGGGGGGAAAAAAGGGGGAGAAGGAGAGGAAACAGACGAAAGGGAAAGCAGAAAGAAGCAGAGGAAAAAAGAAATGGGAGAAGCAGACAAAAAAAAAGAGAAGATGAGAGAAAATAGGTAAAAAAAGAGAAAAAAGAGAAAAAAGAGAAGATGAAAGAAAAAAAGGAAAAAAGGGGAAAAGGGGGAAAAAAGGAAAAAAGGGGAAAAAGGGGAAAAAGGGAAAAAAAGGAAAAAAAAAAAACTGTAAAACATTCAATATTTACCAGCGTAGGCATACTGCATACACTGCAAAGTTCCGACTCTTCTGTGGAAACTGGACCACGTGCCCTCAAGAGGCCACATGAAAATGAAGCACTTCGCTACTACCGTTGCCTCCTACCGCTTTTTAAAGTGCTGTCAGTGTTGGTGTAATTACTGCTGCAGACCTGCTTAAAAGTAAAGTAAGAAATTAAAACCGGTAAAAACGAGCGCTTTCACCTCAGGGGGCGCAAAGCCGCGGGCCGCGGCGGGCGGGCGGGGCGCGAGGCAGCGCGCCCGCCTCCTCACAGAACCTTCTGGAAGCACGCGCGCCCGCCGCTTGCTTTGAACGGGGCACGCGGGCGCCTGGGGCTGCTTCTGAAGAGGAAATGAGAGG